CCGTATTTTATAAAAATGAAGCATTTAATTTGAAGTAAAAGGTAAGAGGAAAAGGTTTTGCTCTGATCCATATTCATAATCTTGGCCATTTCCATGCAAGGAAACGCTTCGGATAAATAAAGTAAATGCTAGAGAATAGCGATTTCGTCAAACTATAGTCGAAACGAGCCTAAATGGTTCTAAACAGTTTTAAATGATTCTGGAGAGTTCTTGATTGATCTAGATTGATCTAACCAGTTCTAAATGATTCTAGTCAGTTCTAGATGATTCTGGAGCGTTCTTGATTGATCTAGACAGTTTTAGATTGATCTAACCAGTTCTAAATGATTCTGGAGCGTTCTAAATGGTTTTAGACAGTTATAAATGATTCTGAAGCGTTCTAGATTGATCTAGCCAGTTCTAAACGATTCTAGGTAGTTCTAGATGATTCTGGAGCGTTCTAAATGGTTCTAAACTCTTTAAATGTTTCTGGAGCATTAATTCAGGATTCAAGGCAGTTCTAAATGATTCAGGAGCGTTATAAATGATTCTGGAGCATTCTAGATTGAACTAAACAGGTCTAAATGATTCTGAAGCGATCTTTTTATACCAAATATGTTTTGAGAACAATAGATCATGCTTCTTTTTATAAATACGGCCTAATATCCTACTTACTTATCGTATAATGAGCACTTATCCGGTTTGGTGATTTTATTTGGGGGCTTTAAAAAATCCCTGAAAGCCAACATTAAAAACCCGTCAGAAGTGTCGACGAGATTTTCTAAATTATCCATTTCGTTTAATTTGTTACAGTCGTCTGGGCATATTATTGGAGTTTTCGGGGTGGCGTTATCTTCTGAAATATCTTGTTCATCAAATGTTACATCCTTTGGATCTTGTCCGAAAATCGTACAAAGTTCCTCTAACGTTTTTCTTACAAATTCTTCAAATATAGTCTCTGAGAAAATAGATTATTTAGAGTAATATTGAGCAATTTTAACTTATGGAATATGCACCTTTCTGTTCTTGTATAACAGAATAATCGCCTAATAGTCGCAGAAAATGCAAGTTCCTTCCGATTTGGATGACAGATGTAGTGATTATTTTAAGTATACCGTCTTCTTTAATTTTTTCATCGATTTCCTCTACTACATCAAAGTTCAAATTGTAATGATCATTCATTGCAGAACTGAAATTAATAATACCATTATTAATAGCAATTATTATCAAATGTAAAGGAAAATTACATACCTAATGGAATCGCTTAGACTATTTCTTACTCTATTTGTATTGTTACTAAAAAAAAAGAAAAATAGAATTAATAGATCTGACGTAATTTTACCATTAAAACTATGACAAACCTAAACCTTTTGCTTTGAAAAAATGAAGGAATTGCTTCAAGGTATATGCATAAGAAGAAGTGAAGGAAGAGAGGTTTTGCTTCGAGGACGCTGCTGTTGCTTTAAAGCAAAAGGTTTAATGTTTTCCGTATTTATAAAAAAGAAGCATTTGCTTGAAAGAAAAGGATTTGCTTGAGAAGAACAGCTCCAGAGTCATCTAGAGGTGCCTTGAATAATTCAAACTATCTAGAACAATCTGTAATGCAGAAACATTTAAATAGTCTAGAACCATTTAGACTTGTCCAGCACCATTTAGAACGTTCCAAAACCATCTATAACTGTCTAAAATCATTTAGAACTGATTAGATCAATTTACAACGCTCTTTTTAGAACTGTCTAGATTGTCTAGAACAATCTGGATGCTCCAGAAATATTTAAACCAGTTTAGAACCATTTAGAGCCCTCCAGAATCATCTAGAACTGTCAGAAACTATCACAGAACATACTGTCTAGAATCATTTATAACTGTTTAGAATCATTTTGAATGGTCCAGAATCATTTATAACTGTTTAAATCCACTTAGAACGCTCAGAACCATATAGAACTGGTTAGATCAATCTAGAACGCTCCAGAATCATTTAGAACGCTCTAGAGTCATCTAAAACTGCCTTGAATCCTGAATTGATGCTCCAAAAACATTAAAACAGTTTAGAACCATTTATAACTATCTAGAACCATTTAGAACGCTCCAGAATCATTTAGATTCATTCTACATCATTATATTCTATAAATTGCTATTCTCTGTAGCATTTACTTTATTTATCCGGACCGTTTCCTTGCATGGAAAATGGCCAAGATTATGAATATGGATCAGAGCAAAACTTTTTCCTCTTACCTTTTACTTCAAAGTAAATGCTTCATATTTATAAATATGGACTATTATACTACAGGCACGATCTACAAGTTCATTAACCATATAAAAACCTACTTAAAAATCAAAAATTCCTGCGTGTAATCAGTGAGATCATTCTTCATTAACCACATATCGATCACAGTAAGGTAGTAATAGAGCGTTTCTATGTAGAGAGTGATTTTCAAATCTTGATCCAATTTATTCGAGGAATAACGAAGGCTGAGGTGAAGACGAGCCAAAAGCGAACAAACGCAAACGATATTACTCTGATTGTTGATGTCAATTGTAGCGTAATCGTGAATTTTCTTCACCAACACTAACGGCTCTAGAATTGCTCGAAGATCACAAGTGAGATTTAACAATGTATAAGTGGTTTCTGAAAATAACAAAATAAATATTAAGCGTAATTTCGCGATATTTAAAGGCTTCTTACCTTGTTCTCTTATTTTGTTTTCCAATTTCGAAAGTTCCTTATAAATAGGTTTAATTAAATTTCGGATTCCGTTCGTATAACTTTTATACGTTTGAGGTATTCCGGTAGTAGACAGTTCATCTTTAATGAGCAACGAACTGGAAAATTCTTTAAAAAAATCCAACAATTTAATATATGGCATTATTTGGTTGTGAAGAAAATCTTGGAAATTGATCTGAAATAATAATAAAATAAATTACTGGATGAATCAGAAGATTCACAAATTGCAGTTAGATTAACATAAATTATATACTTACAGCTCTAGTACTTGAAATAGTTACATTGTCTCTGATTTCTAAATGGTTCCTTTTCCAATAAAATACAGATGATGCATGCATATCCCACAGTTGCCATAATATTTCTCTGAGAACTTTATATTCTGAAATGACAGTTTTTTTATTGATATCAATCAAGCCCATTGTTTGTTTCTCTAAAAACGAATCCCTAAAAAATTTAATAGAAACAAACCAAGACGACTAATTGACCAAAAAAAAACACATACCACATTATTCCGATATTTCCTTCTCTTCTATCGCTTACTGGAGCATCATGAAAATGCTGTGTATTGTACCATGTATGTTGAATTGTATTAAATAGTTCTTCTCTGTTTGCTCTTAGATTCACTATTACATCTCTTTCGTATTCGTCGATTATTGTAGGCTTATCTTTAAAAGTTTTGTGTATTTCTATATCTTCTTGAGTATCTATTTCATCGTGAATGGACGAAGAATCGGAAATATCCTAAAATCACACAGTAAATTGTTTTTAACATAATATCCATACAAATTTTATTAAAGCATAAACACTTACTGATTCATTATCAATTGATGGAACGGTATATTCAATTCCTTCCTTGAGATATTCACCCCAATCGATTTCTTCTTCTTCGATCTGCTTCTTTACCTCAAAGTCTTGAAAACGGTCCAAAAACTTGTAAGTCGGTCGCTCGGACATGCAGAGTAGAAATTTAACGACATTCAAGTGCGATATCAATTCGGAACCAGAAATGTTTTCCGTGATGTATCCCTTGTAAGCTTCTAGTAAAACGTTAGCTTGCGAAAAGAATCCGTGGAATTGGAATTTCTCCGCCATTCCCGCTATGCTTCTGTCCACTTCGGTTTTATTGAGAAAATACATCGTGTCGGATTTTCTGAGCTTCTCGTGAATTTGTTTTTGAGTGGAGTTGAATCGGCTGGAACCTTCCTAAAGAAAAATGATGATAGTTTGTGCAATATAAAACAAATGTTGAGAGCAATGTTTACCTTGTAACCGGTTATATTTATTATTAATTCCTTTAAACCTTCTGATATATCTGAACTAAGTGGCCGGGCCATGGTAATATTTCACGAAAATAATTAAATAAGGAAAAAATTGTTTTATTCAATAAATCACTTTTAAATCGTCTTGACACTTTTGACAATGACACTAATGACAATTTGACATTTGAACTACCACATATTTTTTTCTCTTCTAGGCAATTTTTCGCGAATATGTCCGAGTAATTAATAAAAACTTAATCATTGTAGATAAAAAATAACAGAATTATGGGTTACGAAAATTGAACTTTTTATTTAACACCAATCAGAATAGTAAAAAAGTAAGCGACTTGATTTGGAAAGCAATTCGAGCAATCTAAACATGTTCGTTAAAATACGCCTCAAACTTCATCGAATCGATAGCACTTCGCGCCTGCGCACAAAATGTGTTTCCTTTTAATTCGGAACTGTTATTATTAGAGATGGGATAATACGGTATTTTTGAATACCCAGTATGAATTTTTCAACAGTTTGAATTTGAATTAAAAAAATACACTGTATGCATAGAAAAGGAAATAATAAATGATTGGATGAGTGGATGTGAAACACCCACACACCAATATTTAACAATATTTAATTAATTATGACGATAGAATGAAGGAAAACCACTTAAAATATTATTAAATATGAAGTGTTGCAAATAAAAAAGCTTTGAGGACAAAAATATATTTTAAAATCATTAAATCGATTAAATATCTGTATATTCATAACAGTGTAACCTACATCTACTTGTAGCAAAGTCTAGGTACATACATATGTATACAATTGCCTACAAAATTTATAGTTGATAGTCTTATCAGGTATTTTGTATACTAATTAAAGAGAATTTATAAAATGCCTATTTAACTATTTACGATAATACTTATAGTAGGTAACGAGGTAGATGTGTAGGTACCAACATGTTGGTATAGAGTTAAAGTTTCCAATCGTAGGTCTATAATCTCGTTTTTACTTTCCGGTAATTTTATAAGATTATCTAAGGCAAAATGATTAGTGTTCAAAAAAGTGCCCAATGTGATTGTTTTGAATTCAATTTTTTCGGTTACAAGGTAGAACTTTTTTTAACTTAAACAGATTTATGTTAGACTGATTCAATGCACAATTTTAAGTTTATACATATAGGGTGCCCAGAAAATAGATGTCAATAACTCTGGAGAATATAGATGACATCAAAATAAGGGTATATCTTCAAACAAATTTTGTTAATTTGAGCCCCCATTTTTTAGCTAAAGACCTTTAAAGTTGAAAATTTAAAACTTATTTTTGCGTTTTATTTCCAAATTATACATGGAAACAATACAACTTTTTTTGCTGGTTTAATACCTACACCCCTATGCCTAATTTGGTGTTAAAATGAATCCTACACTACTCTCTGGAAGACAGTGACCTTGTTCCCAGTGATTAACAATTTGTAACTTTTATGGGGACAATCTGTATAAGGCGAACATACCGTAAATACATTCTTTAATCGATGAACTAACAAAAATGTACTCTTGTTTGAAGTCGATAAAATTAACTAATTAAAATAATTAAATCTATTTTCTAGACACCCCGTATGCACATTTATAGATGATTGATAATTTGTAAATTTGTAATCATACATATAACACGGAATTAATGTGTATATTCAGTACTAACCAATCACTAAAATTGCAATTTGCACCAAACCAATGTTCAAAAAACAAAAAATAAGAAGTCCTTTATAGACCCTTCAAATATTGGATATCGCCAGATTTACTAAATATATCCAGACAATTTGGAGTAAAATGGAGTAAAAAATACCCAAGTAAAATACGCAATTTCGTTGTTATTGCAGTTGATGATGCAGAAGCGGGACGTCATCCTCACTGCGGTCTTCTCCAGTCTCGCTGCTCTGATTCTGATCGCTGGAATCGGAGCCGGTTGTTACTTCTTCCACAAGAGGAGACGCAAGAGGGACGAGGACGAGAATGACTCCCAGGAGGTGACGGTGAGAAAACTCGAGGAAGGTTCCGAAAAGAAGTCCAGAGTCAACGGTTTTCTCAGCCTGAAAACGCCGTTGATATCATCGAAAACTTTGGGGTAAGTGATTGTTTGTAAAATTTATTTTATATTGCAATTTACAAAGGTCACCTAAGTGGTGATGAAGAAATTGAAATATGTAGTATTTTTTAATTGTCTTTCAAAGGATCTTTTCAACATTTTGCTCGTGTGAATTTATGGTTTCGGTTATAATAAAAGGACCTACCTATAACAAAGCTGTAGTAGTCAAACACAATTAAATTATTCAATATCCATTTTTGGGACGAGTACGCTCCTCTTTGAGCAAACAATAACAAGGGTAAAATATTGTTGGCTGTATCCTTCCAAACGCTTGACCCGCTCTTATCCTCTGTCATAATAATATTCAAGGACCCGCTGATAATTTTCTTTCGAGCTATCCTAAATTTGAATCATACAAGATACAGGAAATTCTATCGATTTTTAAGAATTTATAAATATTATAATCTTCTATACAGGACGTCGCGTAGTTACATTATTAAGTAAAAAAAGGGAAAAGCTCTGTGCAAATACGATTTAAGAATTTGTATTTGTTAAGCCGCGAAAATATACCCTTGTTACAAATTCTATTAAGGGTATAAATCTTCCTACCCTTAAATCAAGTGCGTCGTGGATGTTACACGTATTCTTTGCGACATCTTGAAATTTACAGCTGTAGAATAAGAATACTTTAGTATTCATACGTGAAGTGTTTCAACGCGTTTCAGCATAATCACAAAATTCTATTCTTTTGTAAAAGGTTCTATGGTAATTTTCTTAGCCTACTTTAATACCTCGTATCATGAATAAGCATGCCCTATATTATAAACTAAAAATTCTTTAGAGAAAAAGCTAAAACCCGTCCCTTAACAAATCTCGAAGCTTTCTTTAATAGCACTTCGTGACAGAATAAACAAAAACAACCCAGCTATCCATTCAGTTATTATCTGGCATGATGTCGTAAAGAGGAAAAAAACCATTCAGGCATTGTGCGATGGACTCTAATCCGGAGTTGAAACTTTCTTTTACTCAATTTCCTCATAGGCGTTCTTTTTACGAGTGGCTTTACCAATGGAATATTCTGCACCGAAGATTAAAAGGTCCATTTACTTTCAAGTTTTAGTGCTACTTTTTGCTCTTAATTTTACTTGCAAACATATTTTTATTTGTTTAAAAAACTACATTTTATTTTCTGGGAAAACAGTTGTAACAAATTTTCTGCATATTGTATTACATAGTAAGGTAGAAGTATAACGAGAGAATGAACAGAAGAAGGTAATTTAAAAGCTGGTATTTGAATGTGTTCAACAATGTTAAAGTAATTGTAACATACTAGGCTAGATTAGATGGTGTTCTTGATGTTACTTAGTGTAATAGCTTTTATCAGATATAAAACAGATATATTTTCTCTTGCTCGAATTGTGTGGTTACTTGAAAGTTGGAAACCAATTTACTTTTTATCAGGAAGAGTAGTAGAGTATGTTGTTAATAAAATATCAAACTCCCACAAATATTGATTTGAACTATTACTTGTAATCCTCTACATGTCATAGCGTTTGCCAGTGCTCTTCAAACTTTTATTTTAGTTAACGTAAAAATATCACGGTTTTTAAGGAATGTTTAATATGAATTAGGATTATAGCAGACTAGGTTTGTTGGTAATATACTTATGTACATACGATTTCATAATTCCTCGAGGAATATCAAAGTATTTGCACAGTTTGGGATACGCTGGAGGATGGCTTAATGGACATCAAATATATTACACAGTTGGAAGCAGATCGTAATTGCTTCTGGTCTAGACACTTCGTTTTAGACTTATTTATGATGTGTTATAAGGCTGATTACCCACTCTTAAGCGCCTACACAATTACCTATACATATGTATAAAACATAAGATAGATAATTTGATTAAATAACAAACAAATAAACATTTTTTTTGTGTATAATATGAAATTATGCATACATACTCTAGGCAAAACTCGAATCGTTTATCATTTGCGCATCAGAAACGAATAACATTTTTTTTAAATTTTTTCGATCAATTGCAACCCGAAATTCGGAAGTGATTAATGAAAATTTGTTCTCTAGGACGATTAATCAGGAGCGATTGAGTTGTTATAATACAAAGAAGGCAAATTAATTATAATCGATCTATTACTCACAAATTTCATGCAAACTTAATTTGATTGAAGTTTTTGTATCGGCAATAAACATAATCAGTTTTTAATTTTTTTATTTATTTTTTATTCTTCACAAGAAAATAAGTTAGACTATACCTACTTCAGAAATCACTTCTGAAAAATATTGGAATAATATTATAAAAATTGAGATACCTATTTATTAATTACCCAATTAATCTCTTCTATTGCAGGTAGTGTATAAATAACCTCCATTATATGCATCTAAAAATATGCATTGCCAATTAGATAGTAGATACAATAAATCTATGGAAAACCGATTTAGTAACATTATAAACGATATAATCATTAATCATCTCATATTGAGGAAACTTAATTAAGGGAGCTTTTAATGTAGCTTACACACAGATTACACAGGTAAAAAATTAACAAAAATTAGATTTTACGAATTTTTCATATATTGATTGATATAAGTACCTAGTGCAGATGACAAAATAAAAATATTAATCTTAAGAAGGCTGAGATTGAATATTCAAGTATCGATTAAATAAACTTGTCGAATTTTGTTGAAAAAAGCTATTAAAATACTATTAAATTTTTATTACTAGATGCCTCGCAGCGATTATAAAATAAATATCCCGAAATATTGAAGCATTAGATATTGAGAAGTCCATAAAACGAGATCAAGTGTTATAGAGATTACCTCGGTAATGTAGTAGGAAGCGCATAAAACGAAATGAAGCCGGAACATTTTAAATATTTTCCAGATTTACAGCGCATATATCCTCAAAAGCTTCTCGGATTACAATCGAAAAACATTCAGCTGATACATCACGAAATTCTCGTTTGCTTGAAGTTTAATTTCTTCAACAACAATCGACATTCCAGAATTGAGAAATGGCGACGAGACGGTCCCGGCACCCGCTCGAAAAAGTTTGATTTATATTTCTGGAATAAATACGCTGCTTTTTGGGGAGTTTAGCGAGGTGTGGTGGCAAGTACTTGTACATTTTTTATGATCACTCTTTTCGGTTCGCTCGTCCTGCTTCCACATTTGAATAAGTTTCGAGTACAGCGTGGACAAAAAAACTTTGAATTGAAGTTTGATAGAATTCGCAATGAGCAGTTAAATAAATATCCTGATGTTTGCTGGAAGGATTGTTCGACAAGGAACGGTTAAATATATACTGGAAAAAGTATGTTCATTTTTTGTGACTGAATAATTAGGTTAAACTGGGATTTATTTCATGTTTTTTTTTCGTATACTATATGGAATTAATTAGTGAATTTTGGTGGTATATTATAGAAAAAGAAAACAGATTGGGGATGTTGACGTATATTGTGCAGATACGTTTCAAGAAAATAAACAGGATTTCGATATAAGGAAGTGTGAAAAAGTAATATTCGCGGGCGTATTGTGAAAAGCAGATTTCCGTTGTCAAGTCCGATTGTATTTGACATTATATTGAGATCGTCTATTCCGCAGATTTCTTTTGGAAAGTATGTTACTGACACCCTCGATTTTGCTTTAAAATAATGCTAGATATTATTTTATTTATTGAAGTTGCCAAATTTTTGAGTTAATTAATCAAAAGATTCATAGCGGAACTTCAATATCTTCTAACTTTCTAATTTGCTGATTAAAGTTTCTGTATGTAGATGTATTAAATAAGTTTAAACCAAAATAATAGGCAGGTTTAATAGTAGTTGCCTACTTTTCTAATTATTAATTAGGAGTTGCGACGTTTAATGCAATATCATAAATCAAGTCTTTGCTTCAAGGAGAAACTCTCGGGTAATAGTAGATTTCTCAAAGCGAGTACATTTTACAGTAACGATGCAATTTTGGAATTTACTCATTAGGTGCTTTAAAGCATAAATCCATTTTCCGTCTCCAGTAGGAGAAATATATATCGGATTTGATGTGTCGTAAACCGTTGAGAATTTACAATATTAACAGTTGGTTTCTATCGATTGAAACCCACAATGTATGCTTTTATATTAAATGCCAGGAATGCTTTACATGACATGAATTTTACATCGAAATTTGCAAATATTTTATGTAGTATAATATGCTTACTTAATTTAACGCTAGAATGGCAAATCCTCAACCGACTGGCCATTCCATCTTCGAACTTTAAATTGATCGCTAGTATGTTGTTTTATTGCATCAATTTATCCCAACTGCTTAAACTTGTATTAGAGCAGTACATGATAGCCAAACTTATTGGATTTCGAGTACTATTTTTATTCAAATATAATTCAAGTGCAGTGCAGGCCAAATGAGCATTTACACTAACCATACTAAAAACATATATTAAAATGAATATTCGATGCATATTTTTTTAATAGCACAATTTATACCCAATCAATACCACCAGTAAAATCGAAATATTACTTCAATAACGATAACATCAGACAAACCAATTTAGTGCGGCATAAACGCGAAAATACGACTGATTAGTTTAGTAATGGTTGGAAACGAAATACATGTTCGCTATCGTAAAATTCCTACTTTATCGGCTACAACACCGCGATTTTCGATTCACTAGTTTCATCTACGTTTTATGTGAGAGAAAATGCCGTTTCATATTATACCGAAACCCAGATAATACCTAATATAAACCGCATAATCATTAAAAATTTGTAGCCATATACAGCGTAAAACTAACCCAAAAATGCATGAAAGAGTAAACAAATTATTATTTTCATAGAGTTCTATAATATAATTACCGCGAATTCCCTTTTTGTGCTCATTTCTAATGCAAATATTCCCCGCAATAGTTTCTCATTATTTCAGTTTCCTCTTTATTCGCATTCATGTTAAACTCTTTGAAAGCTTTTTTCATTTTGTAGATGCTAAATCGACGAGTTGCTTTGTTGACGGGACTGCCAATCATTTAAACTTGCCGATGAAAGCTCTTTCTGGCGATGTGCACGCGGAAATTTCCCGCAAGTCGCTGCTTATGAAATATCACGACGAAATAACAAATAAGACGTGCTAAGAACTCTCTCGGCATGAGCAAAATGACCGTGTATGAGCTCATTTCACAATTCTAGAGTGGAAATTGAGTGCCCAATAAATCTCTTTCCAGGAAATGAAACTTCCTTTTCCCATCTTGTGAACGTAATTAAAAGGCTTCCATAGTTGTTCAGAAAACTTCTATGTGCATTTTTAATTAATTCCCATTTTCATCTTCTTTTAGATCGCGAGGTATTTTAAGCATTTTCCTGTACACTTAAGTAAATATTACTAGGGAAAATTTAATTCGATGGTAAATACTT